CAACATGTATATATATTATATTCAAAAAATATATTTCATTGTAAATATCATCGTAAATTTCATTATAAATATTTATTTCAATATTATAGTAACCTTGTAAAATAAAAAAAATTAAACCTTTTTAATTTTTATCGAATAGTTATTAAAACTTTTAACTTTTATATTAGAATTTTAAAAATCTATCTAAATGTTAAACATGTTGGAATATATAACGAATTATATCATTTTTGTGTGCGAATTCTAGCTGTCAAATTTGCTGAAACTATAAATGCAAAATATATTGTTGATATATGTATTAAGTCTATTTATAGAAATATAAATCAAGCAAAAATTAATCATTAATAAGTCATATTTTCTCACAAATTTTGTCGGGGATTTAATATTTATGTCATTTCGCTTTTGAGAGATGTGATAATCACATTCGCGCCACGACAATCACAATGGAATAATATTCAATAGACGAACCTTGATTAATGGCGATGACAATTTTCATTTACAATTGACCATATTTGAGCTGAAAAGTTGATCCAGAAATGAACTAATTAACGGATGTTAACGAATCAAACATGTCAATCTGCTGCTTTCACAAACTATACAATACATCATGATGATGCCCAAATCCAAATCAGATTCTAATATTTTATTAAAAATGTCTTTCTTCTAAACTTTTCTCACAGGAATTGTTTTTATTCAAAACAATTAAATAAATAAATTAATAAATACCGACAGTAAGAATGCTAAACAACATTAAATTGCGTAAATCTTTGACACTGTAAAAAATATAATAATAATAATATATTATTAACCATCTTTATAAAAATTAATTATAGCTGCAACCGATACGATCCCGTTAGAGAGATCAAAAACAACCTAACCTGGGCAGCTATTTCTTAGTTACGGGAGTTACGCCCAAGGATCTCGGGCGGACCAATTACACCACTGAATAATTGTCCGAAGTTACGAGTTGTGCCGTTAACAAGTAACGTCGGAGTGCTAACGCGGTTCCGGTTTCTTGGCCCGAATAATTCCGCCGGACTATGCCGAGAGAACTTCGCAGTCGTAAACAGAGCCCGAAGAACACTCGCTTTTGTCGCATCTCCATAGCTCAACGAGCAGTTCGGAAAAATAAACGTACCATAAAATGAAGTAAGATCACCGCAGTAGATAATTTTATGCAAAAGCGGAAAAATTGCAGAATACTTGATTTACAAAGACAGTGCAATAATAAAATATGCAATAAAAATCACGTGCACGAATACACATAAATATAACATTATTCTTTACATGTTATTATATTTTTAATTAAAAAGTAACGATGGTAAAATTGATGCAGAAAAAGAGAAAATTATAGACATGTTAAACATAATATTTAAATATCGATTAAAAATAATTAATTAAACAATAATGCTTAGTATCGTTACCGTAAGAGAAGGGAAAAAATAAGCCGCAGGCTTATAAATAGAATATTAAATATTTAATTAAATGTTTCTTTTGATCTTGACTAAAAGTGCTTAATTAACGTGCAACAAACTATCATAAGAGCAGGATTAAAAAAGGCGAATAACAAACCAGAAGCGATAAAAAGCTGATAAGTACGAGCATTTAATAAATGCATTTAATATTGCTGAAATTAATAAAATTCATTTCTCTAATATCCCATAATATTACGTCAATATGTTGCTCGAAAATAGCAAGATAAAAAAAAATACAGGAACACACATGCATCAACTTTAAGAGAGATAAGCGGCACGAAAGTGAGTACTTTCTGTTGCAATTTGAACATAAAACACCTTTTACCACTTTGCGATATTGATTTCACAATCATAAATGTATGCCGAGAGAAATTTTTATGTCTTTTAAATTATACAGGTAATAAGATCTCACTGTATTATTTTTACATGTAAAATTTCATTTACAAATATTTCTTGATCATTATCTATGCACATAATTGCTATTGCTCATGCAACATATAATTCTCTCTCTCTCTCTCTCTCTCTCT